GGTCTCGCGGCCGCTGCCCTTGCAGCTCCTCCCGCCCATCTGGGGCACCGGCGAGTTGCAGAGGCGGATGCGCGTCACGTTCCCGGCACCGCAGGTCACGGAACAGGAGGACCACGGCGACCAGTGGCTCCAGCCGCCATCCTGCCGGACTAGCACGCGGAGGAACACGGGGCACTTAGTAAACGGCCGGGGCCCCCAGACCCAGGGTCTGCTGATGGTCAGGCAGGAGAGGAGAGGAGGGGCCGGAGGGGAGGTGCCTCACTCACGGGCCAGATGCCCGGACCAGGCTGAGTGCCTCCAAGAAGAGGCAGCAGCGGCGGGTCCCAGGAACCCCAAACCCCGAGGGCCGTGCTGCCCCTCCCCACCCCCGGGGCCCGTGGTGACGTCTGGACACTCACTGCGGTGGTCACACTTGCCCAGGCTGCACGCCCGCGTCTGGATGGACGGCCCCAAACATGTGTTGCTGGTGACGTCGCACGACCGCCCCCTCTGCTGGGTGCCAGACCCACAGGTGGCAGAGCACTCTGTCCACTCCGCCCACGGGGACCAGCCTTCCTCGCCGTCTGCGGGAGGCAGGGCGCGGCGGGGTCAGAGCGCCCCCAGGGACCCGCCCCCCCGGGGGAGCCCCCCACCGGGGTCCGAGCAGGACGCCCATCTGAGCGCTGGTTAAATGAAAAGGCAGTTTCCTGCCAAGAGCTCCTTCACAGGAAATTGCAGGCTCTAAACAAGAGAAGCAACATGACTTAGGAGTCTTCCTGGTGAGCAGTGACGGAGCTTCGGCCTGCTGCCCCGGTCAGGCAGCAGGCCGCCTGCGAACGCGCTGCGGTGAGGGTTAGCCGTTCCAGACCTTCCAGACCGCAGCAGGAAGGACGGGCAGGGGCGCTCTCCCGCGCTCTCCTGCTCTCCGCCGCCTGAAGCGCCTCCTTTGAGCCCACGGGCCGAGGTTACCGCAGTCACACGGTCGTGCCGGTCTGCGGCCCGCGCGGGGAGACTGAACGCCTGATACACGTCGGGCACTTCCACACACACTGTAGTGTTTATTTTGGTCATAAAACTAACCCTGAGTCATGGGGATAATCATTCTGCACTTTACAGACGAAGAATCTGAAACCCGAAAAAGTTACATTTTGCTCAGAATCAAGGAGGGGCAGAGCCTGTGCTAGCCTCCGTGAGCCCCTGTCACAGGACGCAGCCTGTCCCCAGGCCGGTGTCACCAAGGCCCCCAGACCAAGATGAGGATGAAGGACAGTGAAGGACCAGCAGGACACGTCAGAGCAGGTCTCGGAGGAACCAGCCAATTCAGTCAGCACAGGGCGGGGACGGGGACCAGGGACCCAGGACTGGCGACAGGTGTGTAAAGGAAGCACAGATGCTCGGAGTCAGCGGGGGGACGGGGGGGACAGGACACAGAGGCAGCAGTGGTGACTTGGACTCGAGCTGCAGAACAGGCTGAGAGGAAGTGTAGGCTCAACCTCAGGGGCAGCCGTGCACCTCTGGGGCAGCGGGAGGTGCGAGCTGGTGGACACCCCGGACTCCCTGCTGGAGGCGTGGCCACAGAGGCCACTGAGGGTCAGGGCCTCCTCCCCCCCTGGGGGGGCCCTGGAAGAAGACTACACTAAGCCTCCAGCTTCTCTGCAGAAACCAGCAAACAGGGGGACACTGGAGCAGATGAACAGGCTGGTGGCTGAGCAGAGGCCCGCCCACCCGGCGCACTCACCATGGAAGCAGGAGGGGCAGCACTCGCCCTCCATGAAGGATGGGTCGGCACAGGTCGCCGGCGGGCAGGTGATTTGATGGCAAACAGTTTTAAATTTCTATGAAAAAAAAAGATACGTATTTAACACTCATTTAAAGACGTAAACTTTGTACAAGGGCTGAACTGAGGGCTCGTGGAGCAGCTTGAGTGGTTTTTGCCCTGCAGACCCCACAGGTCCCAGGGGCCCGAGGTCCTCTCTCCCCGGTGCCTGAGCAGCTCTCTGGACCTGGGCGACACTGGCCAACTCCGTGTTCCCAACCACCTGGGTGACACTGGCCAGTCCCACTGTCCCCAGCCACCTGGGTGACGCTGGACAAGCCTCCACCCAGACGCCCAGGTTCTGGTTTATGTGCAGAACAACAGGGTTGATTCAAGCCTCATTCAAGGTTCCTCCTGCCTCCACAGCCCACACTCACCAGGGTCAGCGGGAGCCCTGCCACATCCAGGCAGCGGAGGCCTGCAGGCGTCCAGCAGCTCAGAAACCACTGCCCGCCCCGCATCCCGGAGGCCGCGCGTCCAGCCTCACCTTGCAGGTGCACTTGGTGCAGCTGTCCACCACCCAGGTTTCATTTTCTGCAAAGAAGCGGCCGTCCTGCCAGCAGGCTGACATGTTTCGGGTCTTGGGAGGCCCACCGATGAGCTCCCAGAGAAACTGGTTATCGCTGGACTGTGGAGCGGAGGGGGAGATGTGAGTGTAGCCACCAGGCTCCGCTCAAGGAGAAAGGACGCCCCCTTCCCTGGGAGCCTCACCCTCAAGGGCAGACCTCCAGGTGCGCACCCCGCCCCGTGCAGAACAGGACACTCAGATCTACATGAAGGCCCGGCGGGCACAGTCAGCAGAGACGGGGCCCAGCAGAGTCTGCGGCACTGACTCCCACTCCCCCGTGAGCACCTCCCTGACAGATGTTCTGGAAGTCTGCCATCTGTGCCTGTTTGGCTAACGGGCCCCATCACAGAGGCCGGAGCCTGGGGTGAAGCAGCTGCCTGGAGCGGGCGAGGCACAGTGCGGTGGGGGGCAGTCAGGGGCGGGGTCCCTCCTGTCAACTGAAAACTAAGATTCAGTCCTGACACTGCTCTAACAGTACCACAGCAAAGACACCCACAGACACAGGCCTTGCTTGTCCTGAGGGTCACCGACCAGAGGAAAGGATACAGAGTTGTTGAAAAAACTCGAGTGAAACTGACACCGTCTGTCCACCAGCCCGGGCACTGTTACCGCCCCTCTTCTAAGCACCTCCTCCCACCAGCATCACACTGGCCCGTTTCCCTGAGCAGACACCTCTGATGTGGGGGGAACAGGCCCTTTGAGAATCACACAAAGATATGGACCCCTTCTTGCACAAAATGGGCAGAAACACACTATCCTGCTGTTCTTGTGCAATCCAGGAGGCTCACGGATCTCCCTACTCCTCACTCCGCTGTACATAAACTCGTCTGGAAGCTCTTCTCAGTCGAGGCGCTTCGGGCCAAATGCTCACCCCCACCACCCTCCCTCCTGCAGCCCCACCAGAGCAACCCCGAGGCATGAGCATCAGTCCGGCTGAGGCGCCGGTCCCCCTGCAGAAACCCATCGCAGGGTCCGCCTCCTGTGTTTGGACTCCTGCCAGCACGTCGTCTCCCTGGTCTTCCTCCCCCAGCCAGGGCAAGGGGTGAAATGGTGGGCACCGGGCCGGGCAGGGAGGGTGCGGTGACTCCACCTCCCACCCCACCCCCCAGGCCCAGCACCTGGTGGAAAATTCCAGAAGGCAAACTGGGTCATGGGTGCTACAGAACCAGCACCCTGGCCTCTGCCACGAGCTGCCTGTGCTGCGCCCAGCCCCTCTACGTCCCCCGGGAGTGGAAGTGTGCTGTTCCACCCCGTCCGGGACTGGAATCAGAACCCACTTGGAGCCCCTGGCTGGAGCAGAAGACACACATCCGCAGTGTTGGGCTGGGCTGGAGACCCCCCCCACCCAGTGACGCACTCCGACGACAACGCCTACGGACGGGTCGTAGGGAGGACGCCCTACCCGACGACCGTACGGGACCCGTACCCCCTTC